AAACTTTTTCGAAAACGCGTGTAAGCGCACAAAAAAAAAAGACGAAAAATCTAGAAAAAGTGGGCGTGTTTGGATGCCAATCGGGTTCCACACTGTGAGCGAAAATGCCCATTTTCCCCCCTTCTGGTGCGTTCACACGTGTTTTCAGCCCAAAACGCATGTAAATGCATATAAAAAGTGGTCGTTTTTTCATACTCGAGAACCCTATTTATGATCCCGTCCTGCCAGTGACTCACTGATAACGACTATGAGAAAAATGATCACTTTTTCTCTTTTTTTGATGCATTTACACGCGTTTAGGACTGAAAACGCGTTTAAACGCACCAGAAGGGCGAAAACTGGGCGTTTTTCGCTCACAGTCGGGAACCCTGATTGTCATCCAAACACGCCCACTTTTTCTAGATTTTTCGTCTTGTTCTGTGCGCTTAAACGCGATTTCGAAAAAATTTGTCTGCTTGGGTGTTTCCTGAACTTTGAAAAATAAAATTAGTTTAACTCCGTAGAAAAGCCATCTTTTCATTTCGAGAATTATTCTGTATGCTATAACCTGCCCTAGTTATCTAAATTTGAGATAGTTCAGAGTCTCAAAAACAAATTTTCCAGATCTTGTGAGACCAATCCCTCTCTTGAACAGCTACATGGAGTACTAATCATTTAGCCTAACACTTACTGGTTGTTGTCGACGTAATGGTGCTTGTTGTCGTTGTCGTTTCTGTTGTTGTTATTGTTGCCGTTGTTATTATCATCGTTGTTGTCGCCGGCAAAGCTATAAATCCAAAGAGAGTTGTCAGATTCGATATCTTGGCTACGCTTGTCACGAAATAACAGTGCTTTCTGTAACTGTCGGAATAGTGACCACGCCTGCGTCACGAATTTCATTTCCCTAGTATCAAAAATGGGGCCTGAAGATCAACTGCTTACCCAACTTCAGTGATTGTAGACGACGTCAGTGGTAAATTGACAGCTGCGGTACTTATTGGTGGTAACGGGGCAAAGTGTTCTGCTGCTATGCGCGGTTCTTCTGACTGCTGAGCCTATTCGGCATTTTTTGTTAGGAATACAGGACCCACTTTTGGAAGAAAATCTACTGGGGGTAACGCGACACATAGCATAAACAACCAAAGCTCAGCTTTTACCTTTCTCATCTGATGACCCGCTCACTCCTATGTTTTAAAACTAACTTTGCACATATATGACACACCACTGAACAGATCTGGACAGCTTCAAAAAGAGTGTCATGAACTTTGTGAGAAGTCGAACGATATATAATAGTAGCAGTTTCATTCGAAAAAAGTGACTCAAAGGTAAGAATTCTACCACTACTAGAATTCTACGTTCTGTGAACATAATCTTGTATTATGGAAAGTACTATTTAGTGGACGACGTGGAAAAGATTATTACGGTAGTCAGCGATACTTGTATGTTGAATTTACTGAACATTATCCATATAAGCCACCAAATGTTCGTTTTGTTACTCCAATCTATCATTGTAATATAAATGATGATGGAAAAATTTGTCATGAAATATTTAGTTTAGCATGGACACCTGCTACAACAATGATAAACATTTTTGAAGATATATGTTGTTTACTTTGACGATTCCTTCAATAAAAATATAGAAGTCAGACGATGGTCTGGGTTGAGTTTTGCCAGTATGCAGTTCTGAAAATGAAGGCATATCTCATAATAAGTAGTAAAAAAATGTTTATGAGTTCTTTAGCTAAGCCTGTCTGATTCTCTCTTGTCATACAGTAAATCAATTTAAAAGATTACTAAGATCATTTTTGAACATGTAAAAATATTGCAATTGCTTGTTTATTTTCGTGTCATAGGCGTAGAACTGTTTTCTGTGTTAGGCTCAACA